CAAAAGTGGAATGGCTACCCTGAACTCCCAGGGGTGCTATCTCTATTCTTCTCCAGACTTCCGTTCGCTCGTACTGACTCTGCAGCGAGCGAGTCTGAAGTGACTGGTGCTGCTGCTCCGCCTTTTCTGCTGCTGTTTTGAAATTGGTTGGACATAGCTGGCTTGAAGTTGTACAATAATTTGTTCAGATTGCTATTGAAAGGTTGAACTAATATGAATATTCATATGTATATATATGCATTATCCCTGGTTGATTTTAGAGTTGACATCATTAGCGGCGGTTTCTTGTTTAAAGGACAAATATCAAAGGTGTGGGTTAGCCTGGTTATAACCCGCCCCCCCATATAACTGTTAAGTATCTTGGTTACGATTACAGGATGTCACCACTATTTAGAGCTTGGAAGGCAGTTTTATTCAAATAAAAAGATCGTTTTAAACCACTATAATCCCGGTAAATGTGAACACAAGTATAGTTGACCTCACAAAGCGTTTTTTGTCCCATATCCAAACTAGTGTCATCGGGAGAAATTATCTACCAGGGCCCACCGGAAAAGTAAGCTGTCCTCCTTTCGTTAGACATACGTATTAACCGGTCATATTCTCCTAGCCAAGCAATGGCGGTTCCTAATGACAACCCTTCCCTACTTCCATGTTCAGAAATCGCCTCCTGCATAGTCTTTTTAGCTATATCATGCTGCGCACTGAGTGAAGTGGCTTCTCCACGTTTCAGGACGACTATTATCTCATCCATTTCTTTTTTTGGGACCAAATCTTGCAAGTTGACCGACGATACTAGTCTCTGTGTGGATGGGTTTAGCACAGAATTCCGCTCCCAAGGCTGTGTGGTGCAATAGATAGAGACGGAAGAGCCAGATTCATTGCCATCACGCCGTAACATCATCTCTTTCCATGTCACTGTTGGCTGTCCTAGTTGCCTTGAATCCCCAACTGCCATGGCCATGATATCCCTGAATTCTTCTGTCCTTAGCGAAGAGTCCACAAAGCGTAATTCTTTCCATCCCTCGCCAAATTTCACAAAGCCCTCCACAATATCACAACATAGCCCCATCCCGAAGATAGTAAGTGTATCGAGCTGCAGGCAAGGTATCAAGTTAAACCTATATGCGACGGCATAGCCTGAACGACTAGATGGAAGAGCTTTGAATGAGACCAAATCAAGCTCAACATGACGGATCCTCGAAAGGGCGTGAAAAGGCAACCGGGTGAGATGGTAAACAGAATTATCAGGGTTATCGAAAGATATTAAAACGCTTCCGGGAAATAGACCGCCTGCTTCATAGTATATTTGGCGGCAAGTCCGAAGAATTGCTAGTGAGTCATGGTTTGGCCTGTATATTAATGGAGCTGCCGCACTGGCTGGATGGGGATCTCCGAACCGGACAGTGATGAATGCAAAGTAAAACAAGTAGATCTTCAAGCGTAGTTCGAGCGGGAGTACCAACAGCTGGCTGGCTACTTTCCATGGATAATTGACTATAGCTGGCTGAAGAGACATGACTTCAAAATTGCACTGGTATTTTGGGTGAGGAATAGCTAGTCCAGCAGTAGGGAGTTCAAACTGTCTCTGCATGGCTATTGAGCATAATCTTGTAATGAAAGCTTCTGAACCTCAAGGTCTGCAGCGTATGTAGAAGGCATAAATGGTGAATGACTCTCCTACTACTTTCTATGATAGTTATGACTGTGACTGTAGTGTATACAGTCATTAGTAAAGATATTTATTCATATTCTTTATAAGCAGTTATGGACCTTCATCCATTCCAAAATATTCCACCCAAAGGCAGTAACTTATTCTGATTCACTGACTCTGCCATGATGTCTACTATTCACCTTATAAGCTGTGAATAAAGTGGCTTTGTCTTTAGAAATTGGTATCGTTAATGCGAATCTAGGAATTGATAACATAAACTGGTGGGATCGGGTAAATGCTTATACAAAGTCATTATGCTAAAATAATCCTTTGTAATTATTAAAGGGTGAAGTTAATAGATTGTAAGCAAGGCACGGAGTATTCACTCTGATATCATGATGAGATGTAGTTGAATTTTAACTAACCACCAAATTAGAATAGTTAGTGCCAAGACTGCTAAAATGCTTTTTCTATTACAAAAGCTGAACCTCAATTCAACGCCCACCATAAAAATCCCGTTGGACACTTGAGCTATTATCATGCCTCGCGACCCGTTAATTGGGCTTGTTGGCAAGCCTTCCTCTGGGAAATCTACAACATTGAATAGGTATCAATCTTCCTTTGAAGAAAAAAAAAGAACCAAACCGCATGATGAGAATAAATATCTAACTCGCTAGCGGGGCAGCTTAACAGATGCCTCATCTAAAGTTGGTATGTCCGTGAAGCTGTGTGGAACATGTCCATGATTCTATAGCAGCTGATAGGTGCATGCGATTTCTCTAGGGAATTTCCCGTATGTTCTCCCTTGTTTTTTTGTGTGCTATATTAAGTACTAACCAACATCTTTTGCTGCATTCTAGATTTACGACGATTGATCCTCAGCGTGCTATCGGATACCTACAAGTAGATTGCGCTTGCAGCAGATATAACCTACAGGACCGATGCAAGCCCAATTATGGCGGATGTCACGATGGCCGCAGATCTGTACCGATTGAACTTCTAGACGTTGCAGGTCTTGTACCAGGAGCTCATGAAGGGAAAGGTCTTGGGAATAAATTCTTGGACGATCTAAGACATGCAGATGCGTTGATCCATGTGGTGGACGTTAGCGGAACTACCGATGCTGAAGGTGGGCTTACACTGCTGGGAAATAGCGAACAGAGGGAGGACTAAGATTTGAGTACAGGAAAGGTCACGAGAGGATATGACCCGTCTCAGGATATCGTCTGGTTAAAATCTGAGATTGTTAGGTGGATAGAAGGAAATTTAATGGACAAATGGTATGTATCTCTCAACCTCAACTGACCCATATACAAATGTGGATGGATGTTTATTCTATATCCAGGGGCTCTGTCAAGAGGAAGCATATCGCAACAAGTATGTTCAGCCATTTCTGAGACCCTTATATCTTGTTTTTTCCCCTAACCCAATGATAGAGTCAACTGCGGTCGAGACCTTGCAGACACAGTTTTCTGGGTATGGAAGTACGTCGAAAGTGGTTGCAAGGTGCCTTGACCGAATGAATTTGAAAGAACCACTAGAAGAATGGTCAAACGAGACCATTTCTAAAGTGGTTGTATCATTTATAGACGAAAAGTTTCCGACCGTTATAGCTTTGAATAAAATTGATCATCCCGACTCAGATAAGGTAAGCTTAACTGCTTCCATAAGGTAAGAATCCGTATAACTGACTTTTGCGATTCAGAATATTAGTAAAATCGCCAAACAGGAAGACCCTAAATCTATTGTGCTCTGCTCTGCAATCTCAGAAGTTTTTCTACGGAAGTTAACAAAGCAGGGATATATTAAATATTTAGAGGGGAGCGAATTTGTAGACACGAGGGAAGACCTGATAGAAATGGGTGATCCCGAGGGTGGAGGCCTAAAGGAAATGGACGAAAAATTAAAAAAGTAAGTGTTCTTTTCCTATTACCCATGTTAATGCATTGGTTCTCACCAGCCTCCGTAGTCGTGTCGAGAATTTGAAAGACCTTGTCCTCTATCGGTTTGGGTCTACCGGGGTTGTGCAGGTACTTTCGCGTGCTGCTGAATTGCTAGGGCTGGTCCCTGTATTCCCAGTACGAAATGTTCACACGTTTGCATCCGGCGCGACAGGGAATGCCGTGTTCAGAGATTGTGTTCTGGTCAGCAAGTATGCTAACCAAATGTCCCTAATACTCGAATTTTTATTTGCTGATTTCATGATAGAAATAGTACAGTGGGGGATGTAGCCAGAAAGGTCATGGGAGACGTCCCAATTGCCTTTGTAGAAGGAGCTGAGGGAACAAGAATCTCTGAAGACGAAATTGTATCAATTGGGAAACACGACGTGAGTGCCCACCACAACTTAAAATAACAACACAGCCAACGCTAACTCTTGTCCTCAGATACTTTCCTTCAAGGTTGGTAGATGATAAACATGAAGGCGCTAGATCAAAGTCGGGGATCAACCCGCCCAGATATGATCCTGCCATGTACGAATAATTGAACTTTCAGTTGCTAGATTAGGCATATCTCTGAACTTTCTTCATGTTCCCGGTGAACCATGCTTAAGCACCCTTCTGCGCCACTCACAAATGAAAATATCAGCCACCCACCCTCAGTGAACATTGAAGCAGGAATATGTATCCTATTATTACTGACCTCGCCCCGCTCGTCCGTCATTCCGATGACCGGTTTTGGTGCCTTGGGAAATTCTTCTTCTGTTTTTCGTGTGGATCCCTTCTGATCCCTCTCTGTTATGGCTTGGCTTTCGGCCTTATCATCAGCCCTATCCTTCTCTCCTTTCTCCTTGCGGCCTGACTTGGTGGCCTCAGTTTGAGGGTCCGTGACATCTCCCTTCTTTAGGCGGTTTGTACTCTCATCTTCGGTACCTGTGCCTCGCCAACTGTTTAGCCGTGCAGATGGGAAACAAGGGCCAAGGGGCTTTCTGGACACATAGTGGAAGTGTATGAGGGTTCGAGACTGAGTATGGATCGAGAATATTCTTTTCAACGCCATTCTTGTGGACTTAATATCACAGTCAGTGGGGCAAGAGAATGGGCTGATGGGAAGGACGAAGTTGCATTTTTTGTATTTTATAGTGATCATGACATCATCATCACCATAACTAGAAAAAAAACAAGGCTACCAAGTGAATGGTCTTGAAGAGGAGACGGATGGCAACTCCGAGTTTCCACCGACGCAGTAAGGTTATTAAGTGGAATGTTTTGAGTGGCCCTCCTGGGGTGTTTTGGTGCTTGTATACTGTTGAGACGGTGGCAATGTATAACTATGGAGAAATCTGTATTTTCATATTGACCAGCATTCACTAGCCTGGAGCAACCTATAGACAATCTCTTCTACGGCCCCAGTTTAAAGCTATCCTCTCCTTGAACTAGTTGACTCGTGGCAGAGATATACAATAGCTCCTAGAGATAAGTTGGTATCTAGAACTTTCCCACTCTATCGGGCAAATGGGATGATCCTATATACTGCCTTAAAACTGTTTAATATATATCTAGGCATGCTCCACCATTAGAACCCAACATCTTATAGACCAGGGGGAAGTGGTCAGGTTATCTGCAATAATTTTCATACTACTATGTATAGTTAGTACATATCGATCGTGCTGTGTGTAGCCCCTTATAAGAATGGCATGTTGATGATTAGTTAAGCAAAAAAAGTCGCTCCACCTATAAAAAAACATCCCTACGTCATATCAGACTTATTTACACGACATATATTTACAAGACCATCGAGTTGTGAACATCTCACCCTCCAAGACATAGTTAAGATCAGGCCCACTGATGTATAGGTGCCTTATTATATAGCTAATTGTTTTGAAGCATTAGATTACAGCCTGACCATTCTACCAGCGTACCCCAAACACCCTATATTTCCAACTTCAAAGGGACAGAAGAGACTGGGAACAAGAAACAAAAAAGAAACGTTTTTGTAGGAATCTCTACTGTATGTAGGTACAAATCTATATATTATTATACAAATAAACTACTTACCGTGGAATTATCGCAAAGGGAGGATAGAAGCTTGAAAGCAGCCTAAATGAAGAGACAATACCTTCCGATAGAGGCACTTCCGGCATGGGCAAAACTCAACAGTGTTACTTTCCATGGGGTTGAGATCAAACGGCTGCCATATGGGGAGGGAATTGACAAAGGTTCCGCCGTCCTTGCGATTGGTCCCGGTGAAATCCAGGAATCCATACTAGATGAGCCAGATCTCGAGCCGGAGGTACTCATAAAAGTGCCACCAGATCTAATTCTATCTCTCCTGAGGGTGGAAATCCATGCAAAATCTGACAAGTGCTTGAGGGAGGCCTTAGAGGCAGTTGGGGATTTTGGAAAGGTTAGTGTCATTGGTCTTCCGGTTGTCCACGTTTCATTAGACTAGCTATACATCATATATGTAGATGGAATCGGTTTATTAGGCTAATACTTCTTATAGAGATCTAGAGGCGCGATATTGATATTCCTGCTGCTCTTAATCACGCATACAAGCGTAGAAAAGGGGGATCATGTGGGGATATCCTCGCCTTGGACGGAGTATATCAAATTTCTCCCGGAAGCCTATGAGCTACCTACATTCTATACGCTAGCAGAACGTGAACTACTGAGAGGAACCTCACTGGAACCTGCTCTAGACACAAAGATGCAGTCATTAGCACGGGAATTTGACCACTTACGGGATAGTACGTTCAACATTCCATGGTGTCAGAGAGACTGGTGGCATCCAGAGACCGGACAGATTGGTTTTGAGGATTGGAAGATAGTCGACGCAATGTATAGATCTCGCGCAATGGATTTGCCAGGAACGGGTAATGCAATGGTACCTTGCATTGATATGGCAAATCATGCGGCTGGGGATAAGACTATAGCACGGTATGAAACCGACCACGAAGGGAATGCTGTTCTACAGCTGCAGTGGGGTCAGAGACTGAGTGAGGGGGAGGAAGTCACAATCACGTAGGTTTGGATTTAGCCAAAGGATATCTTGAGATCGCCACAGGGGGAGGCTAACTAACCGTTGAACAGATATGGGGACAGCAAGGGGGCATCGGAAATGATATTTTCCTACGGCTTTATAGATCAGGGTGTGAATAGCGCTCAACAACTCTTCCTCGATCTAGATATCCCTGATGACGACCCACTTAAGCCACCTAAAAGGGCCGTATGCGAGGACGGTCCTGGGGTTCGTATTTGTGATGCGGGAGACGGGCGGGACGAAAAGACGACTTGGCATAGTGACTTTGTCTGGTGGGTTTGTGTCAACGAGGAAGACGGGTTGGAATTCCGGGTGTTGCAGTTAAATGACGGTGGAAAAGAGCTACGGGTATTTTGGAAAAACGAGGAAATAACAAGGTCGCGCAAGTTAGGCGATTTCCTGGCGGAGGACCCGAGATGGGATATATTCCAGTTGCGTGCGGTGGTGACTATCCAGGAGCGCGTTGCTAACCAGCTTTCCCTTCTGCAAGCAAGTAATGAGTATGTCAGGGGTTTGGCAGACAAGGTAGATGATTCGCTTATTCGAAGGTCTGTTTGGGATACGGTTATGAAGCTTCGATCCCTTGAAGAGAACCTTCTGACGAGAAGCAACAACGATCTAGATAAGAAGGTTTGTTCGGCTCCAATTCCCTTTTCTCTTTTGGTATCTTTCTTCCCCCCTCCCCTCCCCCCTGGCAATGTGATGCTAATCGGACCGGTTACTTTCGCAGAAACTAGAGTTGCTGGAGTCGAAAACCGTTCAAGCGTATCTGAACTCACAGGGTCCCGTTGAGGCCACTGAAGATTTTTCCTGATATACCAATTGGACAGCCTTACTGATCAGCATGCGAGACATTTCCATTACGGACATTTTTTGGGGGGATTTCTGCTGATTGGGCGCTCTGTTGCTTTTAGTGTAACTTGGCGTTTTCGATGAGAGGTTCTAGAAAGCTAGTATTCGTCGAATTAAGGACGAATAGGAAGATAGGGGGACCTTTTGTGAACGATTCAGACAGATCTCACCGTTAGCCTAATTTGGTGCGATGTTCCCGCCTTGTAGTGGTAGCAATTTTAGCCTGTGGACACCAAAAAGAAAAACGGTATAACTCTAAAGCGGGTGAATTTCGGGCGGGTATTTATATCTCTGGACAAACGAGAAGGAAGTTCTCTCTGTCTGTGCCCGTGGAGAAAGCACGTTTCGTGTGATCCCTTCGATCTGCTAAACTAGTCCTCTTTGGATAACCTTCGTCCGGCGCATTTTCCGCATAAGGGATGGCAGGTTGTTAGAGACCAGAAAACCACTCCCTTAGTCTGAGAGGACCTGAGGGGATAGCAGGTAGGGCCGTACTCTTTATGCTCTCCAACGGTATCTTGGTTTCCCAGAAATTGATGACAATTAGCCCTATGGCGCCACAATCGCATTGAATCATATGAAAGAGAGGGAGTCCCCATTATTCTTCAGCGCTGCCCAATTATGGGGATGGACCAGTTCCGATACGACTGAACTCTAAAGAAACGAGCAAGTTTATATTTGAATCAGCCTTGGACAACAGGTGAGAAGACCGGGGAGACAATGAAATGATTGGGGAACTAAAAGCCGAATATTCCAAGTTTGTTCCCCCTTTGGAATATTTTGTGTTGTGCACTGCGCACTCCTAGGAGGTTGTACAGCTGATGCGTCAAAGAGACAGAGGCTGAGTTAGGCCGAGGGAAGGAACGAAACCTTGCGACGCCTGTGATAAATGCAAGGAAGTGTTGCATCTAGAATCGCGCACGAACCGTGCAGATCGCGCTGCCGCCGTTTGTTTGTCTGTCTGGTTTGAATGGGCTCATAATTTGGGAAGCCGACACCGGGATCTCGGTGTCTTGGCTGGTATAGCTCTCAAAAGGGCATATTCTCCTCTTCTATCATGACCGTTGCTTCCCCCCCCTTCCCTCCCCCCCTGATTCTGGGGCGTGCTGGTCGACATTTGGCCTACTTTCCCGTAAAATATTTGTGGTTATCACTATTTTATGGGGATTTGCCGCGGGAAAGCAAAAGAACGGTAGGAGCGCCACTGCGGATGATAGACAGGGCCCGTGGCTCGACTTAAAAGGTAGCGCCAAAAAGAACGGCTAAGCTCTCGTGTCGTTGGTAAAACAGGGGAAAGACCCAATATTCTAGAGAAGATTGGGGCCTCTTCCGGACTCGTTCGATGGAGGCCATGCTATCCTTTTTCTGCAAGTTAAAGAAGGGAAAAGAAAAAAAAAAGAAAAGAAAAGCAAAAAAAAAGACAAATAAAAGGAAAACAAGAAATGGATGTATCTGTTACTGGCTGAAAGAGTGAAGCTTGCATATGACGAAAGTGCTTCGAGGGGAATGTGCAGGAAGTTACTCATCGACAGACGAGCTTAACGATAGGACTCTCCGCTCATGCATCGGAGTAGAGCAGAATCAGGCTAAGACGTGGCTGATATTCGCATGATTTCTTTTCTTTTTTGATTTTCCTCTTCAGGCATTGAGATCCCTTTTTTTCATCTCCATTTTCTCATCGTCTTCGCTCTCGCTCCTCCACCATCATCCACCCACGATATCCTCCTCGTGGTTTCAAAAAAAAAAAAAAAAAAAAAAAAGGGAAGTCGTGGCTCCAGGACGTGGCTCCAGGGCCATGGCCATGCGACATGATGCCACTGTAACCGCAACAGTCGATGGTGGTACCAACAGCGTTTCAGTGAGCGTGACAGCTCTTGCATCTGGGGAACATTCCCACGAGTTCACAGGCAGGTCTTGTGCTGTCTTCTTTGCAAGGGATACTGCAAGGAAGCCCAGATCATCAGATCCAGAAAAAAAAATAAATAAAAGAACAAGACGGCAGAGAGCTGAGTTGCGGCCAAACGTCTTTCTTCATCATCCCTTAGCCTTAGCTTGGTCGTCCTCCCGGTGGATATTCGATGTTGGAAGTTTCGACGTTGCCGAGCCGCGCAGGGTCTCCGTTCGTCCGGGGCCTTGGCAGCAGCGCTGTCCCCCAAGGTCACTCGGTCCTGGCATCGAGAGGAGTCTTCGATCTGAAGAAGTTCCTCTGAAGTGGGAAGTGGGAAGAAGGAAAGTGGGAGAAAGCCTTCAAACTTGGAGCCAAGGGGGGGGGAGTGGAATAAAAGTAGAAATAAAATACAAAAATACAAACATACAAAAATAATAAAATAAAATAAATAGAAATAGAAATACAAAAATATTAAGAAAAGGGAAAAAAAGAACTAGGTTCACCCTAAAAGAGAGCTCGGGTTTTTGGCATCCATGGAATGACTGAGTATACTGGGGGGGGGGGAGGAGAAAGACGATCTTCGATGCATCTTAACTGGTCATCTAACGCTTTTGCAAGTCTTAAGATATATACTTACCTCTAGGGCCGCAGATGGAGGGTTCCTGTCGATAGCCTCTAGCCCATTATTTTTGCATTTTCTTCAAGCAACAAGACCAGGACTAGAGAGCGTACCTACATAAAACCCCTCACGATGGCCGTGGAGCCATAGCACACATCCTTGCTCCTCGTTGAACTACTTCCTCGAGCAAGATATCCAAGTACTGGAAGGGGCTGGACTGTTCCTATCTTTCGAGAAACAAAAAGGACTAGTCTTCCCTCATACCATTTCATCGAATCTCAAGAAGTCAGTAGAACGAACTATCTAAGAGATAGGTGAAAGAGAGAGAGAGCAGAGGGAAGCTAGCATGCCAGGCATTTTACCCATGAAGGTCATAAAGGTTGGGAGTAATTCACAGAGCAGAGTTGCCCAGGCTTGTGACCGATGCCGGAGCAAGAAGATTCGATGTGATGGAATCCGGCCATCGTGCTCGCAGTGCACAAATGTCGGCTTCGAGTGCAAGACCAGTGACAAGCTTAGCAGGCGAGCATTCCCCCGCGGATATACCGAGTCCCTGGAGGACCGAGTACGGTCTCTAGAGGCTGAAGTACGGGAGCTGAAGTCCCTTCTGGAGGAAAAGGATGAACGGATAGATGTTCTCACCAGGCTTCAGTCGTTTTCACTCTCATCACAAAAGGCGAATCCCTCTCCGGTGTCGAACATCTCAACCTCGCCGGCTGGCTTCTATCCACGGCCGCCCCAGACGTCACGGAATGAGGGTGAAGACCTCATATATGTCCAGCAGTCGGCACGCTCTCTCACAAAGCCCTCTGAGGATTCACCCTTCACCGGGCATTCCAGCACACGAGCTTTCATAGGTAAGCTTCAAACAGTCCATCTTCTTCCATCAGTCTCTTGTGTGTGTGTGTTTTTTTTTCGCTGACTTCACCATGAACAGAGGCATTTTCTGCTCGCCTCGAAAGAAGTGGCAGGTCTACAACCACAGCCCTGGCAGACGTCTTGCTCTCCCCGCCGTCACTGAATGCGCGAAGACACGAGGACATCACTCCGTCCAAAATCCTTCCTCGTTTGGTGTCGGATCGACTCTTGAACATCTTCTTCCAGGAATGGGCTCCATTGTACCCCATCGTACACCGTCCAGCAATCCTGAAACTATACAGCAGATATACCACGAACCCCGACTCTATCGAAGCAGACCATCACGCCTTTGCACAGCTGAACTTGATTTTCGGCATTGCTGCCATCTCATCCACGGTACGCCCTAGCGTGGGTACTCCTTTTCCTTCAACTGATCATGTTTCAGCTAACGGTTCAACCACATCAGTCTCGCGTGCCACAAGATCCTCTGTTCTTTGAACGGCATTGGATACCGAAGCTGAAGCTTCTTGCCAGTGACATATCACTAACCACGCTTCAATGTTATGTTCTTGCACAAGTTTATTATTCCGTGAAAGCAGATTATCGAAGTCTCCTTCATTACAGGGGTCTCGGGGTTTCCATCTGTCTGCAACTAGGCCTTCACCAAAGCCAAGAGAGATTCTCACTAAATCCGCTGGTAAGCGAGACGCGAAAGAGGGTATTCTGGTGTCAATATACACTTGACAGGTATGATCTCATCGTTGTAATTTCTAATGTGCTGAATTCGGCTGTTTTTCTGACGTTTTGAGCATGTAGATTTGGCGCTGCTTTGACGGGATTGCCCGTATTGTTATCTGAATCAGACATCTCGACCGAGTACCCAGCGGATGTCGACGATGAAAATGTCACTGAAACGGGCTTCGTCCCAACCATTCCAGAGGATCCAACGAGAATGTCGTCCGCCCTGGCCTTGTTCTCTGTCTCGCGTATCCTTCACCGGGTGTTGGAAGACCTATATCCTTCTCCCACAGGCTATGAGATTTCCCTTTCCACAGTGCACTCATTGGCGGAGGAATTGGACGAATGGCTGAAGAAGCTTCCTGCCCACTTGCAACTTACATTTCTTCTGGACAAGCCCGATGCCTCAGTGGCAAGCGGCCGATCAATATTGCTGGTGAGTTAACCAACAATTCTATTGGAGAGGAAACGATGCAGCTAACATCGGCACTTAGTCAACTGTGTATTACTTCATTCGCACCCTCATCCGCAGGCCTGCGGTCTCATTTGGCTCATCCGATAGCTCATCGCCATCGATGCTCTCCCTTGTAGACTCAGCCAAACACATCATCCAACTCCTCAGACTCCTTGAAGACCGAAGAATGAGCCTTTCATTATGCATGAACAAGCGCGAACTGATCCTGATTTCTGGCATCGGCCTGCTATGGCAAAACCTGCATCTAGGCAGGGATAGCAAGCTAGTCAAAGATGCACAGAAGAGTCTCACGACAACCGTCTCGCTGCTAGAAAATGAATCTATCGAGGCGGCGGTAGAGTTCAGCTCGCTGATACACCTGATATCGGAGGTTGACAAGCCAATGCCGGACCGGAGTGGCGGTGTCCCAGAATACATGTCAAAGCTGAAAAGGGCTCGTTTATCCTTCTCTTCCGAGCCCGGTGTGTCTACGCCTGCCCGGGATGAGCTTCGAAAGGCAAACGCCAGGCCATCGTCGCCTAAGCTGCCACGCAGTGTTCGATCTTCGAGCTCACATAGCAACAGCTCCTGTGAACAACGAGACCAAATGCACCATCAACAGCAGGCCCAAGCCCGGTTTCACTCTAATCAGCCCCCGCCCCTAGACAGATCCGTGAGTCTAGGCTACGTCCCACATCCTATGAAGAAGGATGACAAGAAGCAGATGCAGCCAGGCTATAACCCCCAGGTGGGCATACCTGAGTGGGAACACGTCCTTACTGACATTGACAATGGACATGCAAATTTATTCACAGGGATATATGGTGGTAGCGAATGCGGCCAGGCTTCTGCAGCATTCGCTACCCTTGGCTCGAACTATGCTCCATCCCAACAGTCAACGCCAGCACTTAGCATACCTGTTTTGCACTCATCACCAGATAGCATGCACGGCTGGCCACAGGAACCTTGGAACGCGGCACCACGAAATCCTATCCCGCGTAGCCACCCTAGTCAAAATGGCGCCAATCCAGCGAATGGGGGTGCGCCTTCAGAATCTCCATCAGCGTATAATGACGGCAGAAACCTAGATATGAGGGACCAGCATATGGCGCACACAAACGCTCATGATGCCAATGCCCAGCCTAACGGCCATATTAACACCTGTGCACCGCCGTTGAATCCGTTCGAAGCCATCGTTATGCCGCATAACCTCGATTCCATGCAGGGAACGGCTAACTTCAACGTTACTGTCCCTAGTACTTGGGGTCAGCCTTCAGTAATGTGAACCAAATCTCTTTCAAGTTAATAAAAGGGAAAAACGGCAAGAAAAAAAAAGATACAACGGGCATTTTATATGAATAATTTTATAGCCGGAGTATAAATCTCGGCAGCACTCATTCCATTCGCTATGTCTAGTGACTGTTTGGTGCAATTTGGGGTTTTAGACATTTGGGTTTTTGGGTGTTTTTTTTTGCCCTTGTTTGTTTTGTTGGCATTTTGTCTGCTTTTCCCCTGGCAATAATGTAATAATAGCATCAATAACCTAGCGTACTTATTCCGTAGGCAGGCCAGGAATAATTGCTGCGGAATGATACCGAGTTCACCGTTCCATCTATATTTGATTGTTATCTCCAGGATTAGACGTGTATGCATATGACTCGCAGTAAACCACAGGTCATCCCACTCCATATGCTCCTCGACTTTCCTCTGTAGGTACCATCTTACTCTTCTAGGATCGTTGAGGCAACGACCCCTCTCAGGGGGAGAGCCCTAAAAAGGACTTGTCGAGAGGCATATATAATATTGCCAACGCCCAGAAGCATTGGCCAATGAGTCTCCGGTTCCGCCGCACCTGTGAATTCCTGTTGGTCAGAGAATGGTTGAAGATGTGTCAAGGGTGATGGGCTCCCTGTCCCTGGTCTTGCATGTGGGACGTTAACGGTCATTAAAATGTATATGTGTGGATGCGTATGACGTCGCTTGTCCCCAGCGCATGAACCATGAACACACCCTCGTCGGATTTATATATGTAATATAACAAGGAGAGACCATGTTGCAACGAGGGTTGGCGCCGCAAAAGAAGAGACCGAACCAGAGAAAGGGGGAGACATTCGATGCGATTGAACTGCGGCTTCAACTGGACGAACGAGTCGTCAGGAATTCCTCTTTCGAGTACGAAACCAGCAGTGCTACGGGCCTCCAACGACGCAGATAAGAACTCTCTCTCTCTCTTGTGTCTGTCTCTGTCTGTCTGTCCACCCTGACAGGATCCCCTTATTCGACGATCCCGGCCGATAGTTAGCCTCATATCGTGGTCGGTTATAAAACTTCTTGACGAGCTTTTGTAAGCTGCCCGGGCCGGCCGCCCGTCGAACCTGGACTTGGAGACGCCCTCTGCAAACAGGGCAAAGGTTGATGTTCGTCTTCTCTTGTGTATGAATGTTTCAAGTTTTTTTCTTTTTTGTTTCCATCTCTGGAGTCGTTTTGAAGACTCTTTATGTGTTTTTTGTCGTCAAAAGGCGTGAGGATAAGTAGAAGCAGCCAATAAAATGTATGGCACTAGGCGTCTCATAATGTAAAATACAGTCAATCTCCCAGTAGAAGCAGCATGGTACTGTCATGATCCTGGTACCGATGTAATATATCCTGCGCGATTTAACCCCACCCGCCCACTTTCGGAACTTCAAAGTTTGCAACTTCATCTTCTTCTTCTTCTTCTTCTTCTTTTTCTTCTTCTCTTCTTCTCTTAGTACTCAGCAATCTCTTTATCAGACGCCTTATATCTCGAGAATTCCGCTGTCATTGTAGTGCTAGACTCTGCTTCTCTTGGTTCTTCCAGCTCAGACTCGTCCCGGAGCTCCCATCGTTATACTACACCACTACCCCGCATAGCTACATACAGCAGCTTCTTCCATCATGGGGTACTCAGAAGTTGACAAGACCGCCATAAACACCATCCGAATTCTTGCTGTGAGTGCTTTCCCTCCTAATATTCGCTGTCTATTGCTGGAGATGTAGCTCTCTGTTCTCATTTTTTACGGTTGATAAGAGGTCCTGGGCACCCCGCATCGACCTGATATGAAACAGGAGGAAGAACCTCTAAAACTGTGGCAGAACATATCTATCACTACAAGACTTTTGAATTGATGCTAATTGACTTATTTCTAGGTTGATGCAACTGCAGTTCCCAACTCCGGCCATCCCGGAGCACCCATGGGCCTTGCCCCGACTTCACATGTCCTATTCAACAAGTTCATGCACTTCAACCCAAAGAATCCAAACTGGCCCAACAGAGATCGTTTTGTTCTCTCGTATGTCATGTTATTTTTCCAGATTTATTGGTGCTTTAAAATTGGTGGGGTAGAAGAAGGAAATGGCAGCTAACCAAGTTGTATCATAGAAATGGACACGCTTGCGTGCTGCAATATACCCTTCTCCATCTTTTTGGATATGCCCTGTCCATGAATGATATGAAGGACTTTAGAGTTAGTTTGGACCCCTCAAATTTCGTTCTACTTCTATTCATTTACTAATCTCCATGGATAGAAACTTGGCAGTATCACTCCCGGCCACCCCGAGGCCCACGACACCCCTGGAATCGAGGTCACAACTGGACCCCTCGGCCAGGGAATTGCCAACGCTGTTGGTCTCGCTATTGCTCAGGCTCACACTGCTGCTGTTTTCAACAGGCCAGGATATAACCTGTTCGACAACTACACATACTGCATCTTTGGTGATGGATGTGCCATGGAGGGTGTTGCTAGTGAGGCTGCTAGTTCTGCTGGCCACCTCAAGCTTGGCAACTTGATCTGCTTGTACGACGACAACCATGTCTCTATCGGTATGCAACTAACCCCATTAAAAGCCAATTTTTTTCAGTAACTAAACCCAATACTAGATGGTGATATCAAGTGTGCATTCACCGAAGATGTGTGTGCACGATTCGAGGCCTACGGATGGCATGTCCAGCACGTCAAGGATGGTGATCACGATTTGGAAGCCATTGAAGCCGCTATCCAGAAGGCCAAGGAAGTTACTGACAAGCCTTCAATGATCAAGATCACCACCACCATTGGATTCGGCTCCCTGCTCCAGGGTACTGGTGGCGTTCACGGCAACCCTCTCAAGGCCGATGATACCAAGCAACTCAAGGAGGCCTTCGGCTTCAACCCTGACGAGACATTTGTTGTCCCACAAGAAGTCTATGACCTCTACCACCGCCGCTCTGCTGAGGGTGCCGCCAAGGAACAGGAGTGGAACAACCTCTTTGCCAAATATGCAACTGAGTACCCGAAGGAGCATGCCGATGTCACCCGTCGGTTGACTGGTAAACTCCCAGAGGGGTGGGAGAAGTGCTTACCCACATACTCCCCAAGCGACCCAGCCATTGCATCGCGCAAGCTCTCCGAGGCAGTGATCGAGAAGATCTACGATGTCATCCCTGAATTTGTCTGCGGATCCGCTGACTTGACCGGTTCGAACAACACTCGCTGGAAGAAGGCAGTGGACTTCCAGCCCCCATGCCTTGGTATTGGTGAATGGTCCGGCCGCTACTTCCGATACGGTGTCCGTGAACATGGTATGGCTGCTATGATGAACGGTATGGCCGCTTATGGCACCATGCTCCCTGCTGCCGGAACTTTCCTGAACTTCGTCTCGTATGCCGCTGGAGCTGTCCGTCTGTCTGCTCTCTCCGGCGTTCGTGTTATTTATGTTGCAACCCATGACTCGATCGGCCTGGGAGAAGATGGCCCAACCCATCAGCCGATCGAAACGCTCGCGCATTTCCGTGCCCTCCCCAACTTGATGGTGTGGCGTCCCGCTGATGGCAACGAGACCAGCGCTGCCTACTACTCTGCTCTCACTGCTAAGTCTACTCCTTCCATCCTCGCCCTAACCCGCCAGAATCTGCCACAACTCGAGGGCTCTACCATCCAAAAGGCTCTCAAGGGTGGATATGTTGCTGTTGAAGCCGAGAACGCCAACATCACCATTGTCAGTACCGGATCCGAAGTCGGTATCTGTATCGATGCCGCCAAATACCTCAAGGAGAAGCACAACGTTGTTGCTCGTATTGTCTCGATGCCTTGCTTCGAGGTCTTCGATGCTCAAGACAAGGAGTACAGACTCAGTGTTATTCCAGATGGTATCCCATCTCTCAGTGTTGAGGTCATGAGCACTCTTGGCTGGGAGAGATATTCACATGAGCAATTCGGCCTCAACCGCTTCGGTGCCTCTGGCCCATACAAGGACGTCTATGCTGTAAGTTTTGACCTTTCCAACGTTCCTTGCTGAATATCTGTGACGGCCGTACTAATAGTTCCCCTTTTCCAGAAATTCGAATTCACACCCGAAGGTATCAGCAAGCGTGCTATTGCTACTATCGATTTCTACAAGGGCGTCCCCGTCCGTTCTCCGATCAACCGTGCTTTCCAGCAGCTTATTTAAACTACTGCATGCCATGTTGGGACTCTCTTTGTCTTCCCTTAGAAGCCTCCCTACCGTGCTCCCCCATTCACATTAAGCTGAAAGGAGATAACTTATCGGAAGCTCAGTTAAGGAAAGTTCTGTTTATTCTATTTTTACTACCCGTTAGAGAGTCATACCGTTTTATTTACTGTAGTTACCCCTTTTTCTCATGATCAGACGAAAAATTCGAAAATTTAATTATCCCCGTTTACATTATATGTAGTAGGCAAACAAAGGCAAACAACACTGACGTCTCATTAATTGGTTGAGAGTATTAATTGAGAGTTTCATTAGTCTTCTACCTTCTTTCGTATGTGCTTCTTCTTGAGTTAACCAGCCCATGCAAAAGGGGGGTGTCCTTCTAGATATCCAAGTTCCGTCTGAAGCATATAACCCCTCAATTATCCCGGGCATTTTATCCCATTCGTGCCGGTGACGGGAAAAAAAGTATAAACACTTCCATTTTATCCTTTTCTACTATCCCACAAGTGCATCTACTCGAGCGCCTTTCGGGCGAAGTTGGGAAGAATGAAGCTCGCCCGGTGGATTTCCTGGTTGTAATATCTGCAGAGCTTATCCTCCTCTTCTCTAGTCCAAGTGCGAACTGGCTCGCGAACGTTACGTTCCGAGTCTTTGCAAGCGACTAGGAAACCGATTTGGCCGGATGGGTAGGTTGGGATGGTAGTGTAGGCGTACTCAACAACGGGAAAAACCTCGCGCATGAGCTTCTTCAGTTCGGTGATCATAGAGAGGTGAAGCCATTGGTTTTCAGCTATACGGAGAAAAAAAAACACCTTTACTTCCCTGGCGATACTTGGCGATGGGAGTCGCCCAGGAAGTAAAAGGGTTTTGGTGGTTAGCCTAGTCTGTAGTGTTTTGGAGGGGTACTTATATTTGAACTAGAAGAAAGCTTTTTGAGAAATGAAAAGAAATGGAAATCGAAGCGTAGGTGGGGAATCTGGTGGAAAGTAACCTGAAGAAAGAAGATTGAAGTCAGGATATCGCCTCAGTCAGAAGCGCGAGGGGTAAACACGATACACAGGCATGGCAGGGAAGTAGATGATAGCAATAGGCAAGACGTTGAAGAAAGCGGAGAGGCGACGAACAACCTTGAGTACTAATGACACCTCCTTCACGGAGAGCGCCATGTAGAAGCTCGAAGTATGGCTTCTGGAACAAGACCTCGGCTGGTCCTTCGGGGTCGGAGCTATCGGTGATAATAACGTCGAACTGGTTCTTCTGCTCCTCGAGGAATTTAAAGCCGTCACGGACGTGAACTTTAGCGTTGGGGTGTTGGAAGCCAACACTCATTCCGGGAAGGTATTTCTTGGATACTCGGATGACGGCCTAGTGTTATCATTCGTGTGTCAATTGAGCCACGGAGAAAGGGGAGAGGGGCCGTTTGGCGGGGTAACAGACCTCATCGATGTCACAGAGCACAGCTTCCTCGACGGTATCATGCTTAACAATCTCCCGGAGAACACCACCGTCTCCTCCGCCGATGACAAGGACTTTCTTGGGGTTGGGGTGGGAATTCATGGCGAGGTGGGTAATCATCTCCTGGTACCTGTCTCAACGCATCAGTCGCCTCATCAAGGTAGCAATTGAGGGAGTTACAACGCACGAAAACTCATCTCGTTCGGTGCACTGAATAACATTATCCAAGACCAAAACCGTGCCGTGGTCACTGCTCTCAAAGACCAAAACATCTTGATATTTGGACTTCTCATGGTGAAGAATCTGGTTGACCCGCAGGTTCATGGCCTGGCCCGGCCACATGTCGGAGATTTCAGAGAACCATCCATCTAGAAAAGCATACGTTATTAGAACTCGTGAATAACTTGAAATCGAAAGATCATCTGGAGAGGTTCCTCTCCGTCTCATATCTGGAACGGGCCTGATATATATATGCGTGTGTGCGTGTATACGTACCTTTAATGGTGGGGTGGGTGATTTCGCTCATCTTTGCGGTGGAATCGAGAGTATGGAAGCGACTGTACGGCGTCAACGCAGTGCTGGAGGGTGATCTAGCTCTTGCTTCGAACCTATAGAAAGACAGTGACGGTGGGCAGCTAAATGATGACTTCTTCTTCAAAGTCTGGCGTGCAACAAGTCGTGGTGCGAGAAGAACTCCCATAGAACTTGAATGTGGGACATTTTATTTTATTTTTATTATTTATTTTTATTAAATTCTTTCTTGTTAGCAAATTGATCAAAGCCCCGCCTTATAGTCACGTGCTTAATGGTTAGTAATGATGATTATATAAACCAGCAATTTCTCATTTAGGGAAGAAAGACATCAGACATCAAAATTCAGTTGCGGACGGGGTGAGCGGGATAGACAGGATGCAACTCGTTGGAGTTCCAGGATAAGCGAGGAATGGGATCTGCTGGATTTGTTGCTTTATACCCTGTCATATGTTATCCCTGGCCTGGAAATCACAGGGGGCCATGATGGAAGCTGGGGCCAAAATTGAACCTGTTCTCTGATAACAACATATACTTACATATATGCATCCATGTCAAGATGCGTGACCCTGCCTACGGTCTACTGCGCAGCAGCTCTTGGATTCAAGAAGGAAGAAACGGACTTCTAATTTTACGTCAATAAGACCCTTCATGGAAAATCCCCCATTACCACTAGTTTACTACCATCCTGCAAAGTGGCGTATTTTCGTCAACTGACACAGAGGGGTTGCAGTGAGGCGGCGTAGTACAGAGTGTTTGCCCTTCGTCTTTGGCTAAAGATGCGGGCCTAGAGAGTTGGCATATGCAGAGTTATGCGTACTTTGTATTCTGTTGGTCCGCCTGGGATATCTGGACTCTGAGCTGTTCATACATGGAAATAAACCGGGCTTCTTTATTTCCCTTAGATATTAGTTGTTACCATGTCACCGGGCCCATGAGACATACAAACGGCAATTTTATGGAGCCAATATGTTATTGGCCAGGGATATGAATTTACAAGACAGATACTATCCGAAACCCAACCAGCAGAGGTCCCCACGACTTTCAAATCACAGTACATAATACCCCTGGCCGTGATGATTATCTCATCGCCTGCAGATAATTGTCGGCGGCTACTTGCAGTTCTACCATCTACTACATCTCGGTGGATACGACTGATAGACCCTTGCGGGCTTGTCGTAGAGGCCCGAAAGCCACGGGTTTCTCACACCTAAAATACTACCGACTTCACGTACTCATCCTTAGTGCAAAAGTCATTAGCTTAATCTCTTTTTATATCGTTTTATTGTTACTGGGAACCGTTCATAACCTGCTTCTATTATGTCAAACTAGAGGATCATTTGACACACTTGATGGACACAGGACTAGTATTATGTACAGTAATTGTCTAGCAATCAACTTCTTCCGCCCTTGGTACAAAGAGAAATATGCCCAATAGATGTAAAGGGAAAATAGGAGAGTAAATTAAGCTTAGCTTTAGGAATGGAACCCGGTCAAGAGTTCGAATATTAAAGTGCCAACTATAAGGGGGGAAGAATTAGTAGCAAAGAGTTTATGAAGGATAATTGAAAGCAAACCGCGGCACAGACGGTGAAAGGAGTGGAAGAAATGAATAATAGTCCCATTGGGTATTTAGCCGGCCCCGTGAAGAAAAAGAAAATGAATTAAGTAGTGGGAAGGCTCTCCCTCCGATTTTATGATATGTGCATCACCCATTAAAGCATATGAAGTTGTTGCTTTGCCAAAAACGCGTCATGCGGTGGTAGCGTGGATTGATTTATCGTAGAACGGCTCAGGAGTGGGGTACGAGTTGGTTGTGAAGGTGGGCATCTCAAATTTGTTTGGTGTTGTAAATCCCGGACTGGAACTGCTGCAGGAGCTGTTGCAGATTGGGGAAGTGGAGGAGTCACTGAATTGCACATTGTTTGGCAACTTCATCAGCTCTTGAACCCGCTTCCGTAGGCTCTCAATTTCGTTGGCCTGGGAATTGTATGATTGGAGTAGACTTTGGTGTTGCTCGTGGAGTGCCTGTAGCTGGCTTTCCAGGCCCTTGACGTGCTTTTCCTTTCGTTCTCTGAATGCCCGCTGAGAAGCACGATTTTGAGCTCTGCGTCTCTGCAAACCATGCACTTGTGAGTATGTAAGTATGGTAATAGTCAAACGGTATAACTTACTAGGTGCATTGAAGAAACCTGCCCCTTTTGGGTAGTTCTTCGATCTCTTCGATCTCCAGAGTCTAGTGAGGTGGAGTCGATGTATTCCACCGGGATTTTCTCCGCTGGTGGGTAGTATGGAATCTGAGAACTACCATACGATATCATGGTATATGACGACGATTCAGAAGGGCTAATGCTTTGCCTCATTTGCTGCGAGGCTGTTAGTTAGACACTGAAAGGCTGTTATATCTCACATGAGGAGTGAACCCTACTTACATAGGTATCAGGGCTGGAGGATTCCGAGTATGATTCTGAGGGGCTTTCATATGGATGCGGAGCCATGGTATATGCGTAGGTGTTTATGGTAGGTAGCGATGGTAAGCCTTCGTAGAAAGCCATGATCATGGTGATAATGATAGTGGAATGTAGATGAGGGTGGGGGATAATTGGAAATCGGACTCTTGGGGAGACTGAACGACTGCCTTGATGTAGGTAATGGGAGTGAACTGTACGGTCAAATTAACGATGAGAGGTGATAATGATTTCTGAATTCTTGGGAGAGGAAGCCCGTCTTAAATCTAGAGAGACCTCCATATCTAGACAGGGTTGCAGTCTCCAAGCAATGTGGCCCATGTTCATCCGATACCTACATTTGCATCTGTGCAATCCTTGAAGCTTTGTCAACAACCGCACTAAAAGATCTCCCGCAGGCCGGAGCAGCAGGCTACAGCCCTCGTCCAATGGGCATGCAACGGTAGTGATATCCTGTACTGCGGATTTTAATGCGGGACAGGGGTTCCAGCCACGGCGGCCAGGGGATGTGACAGAGTAAAAATGGGGGTTAAGGGTTCCTCAAAGTCTCTGAAAAGAATCCTGGATATAGCGAGGGGTTAATGCGGGATACATACGACTTTACAATAATAGAGCTTCACACGAGGGGACAAAAAAGCTAATGAACTAGAGGGCGCAGCTGATTTGCTTGAATTTTGGGAGTCTTAATGTTACCCCCGTCATTAGACCGTTGGACGACAAGAAAAGAAAAGTAGAGCCCAAAAAGCCAAGAAGTAGCTCTACGAGGGTCAGTCAGTCTCCTTCTCCTGCAGGTACTGCATATTGATGATACAATACAAAACCTGCTAGCAGAAGTACCAGGAGGTTCGCAGAACGCCTCTTTCACTATGTCATGAAGAAGAGAGAAATGTACGGAGTATTCTAAAATAGATGTGGCAGTGGTGGTCCTAATCCAGAGGCTGGTTGGTCCGTCAGTCTGCAATGACATCCGCTCTCTAACTATTGGAGGAACATGGTGAACCTGGGAAGGGGGCTAGTCTGCTGCCCCAGATGTATTCTTTGCAGTGGTCTGCATGAAACAAGCGGCTATGATCAATGCTCCCATGCAAAATAAAACTCAACATTATTGGCAGAAGGCGTGGGAATAATCGTGACCGGAGTTGACGAGTAGCGAGACGGTGGGGTGGATTATCAACGAAATGATTAAGTTTTTATTATTGATAATCATCTTCCTTGCAAATCTAGTGGCCAACCAGTCGGCTGGTATTATTTCTAGGATATAAACGTTGGTTTCTGTATGTCTAGATGTTCATTTTCAACATTTAGCCGGATCAGTGACCCCGCCAGCCGAGGGGGCTGGTAAACAGGCTCAGGCAGGACAAATGTAATGGTAGGGATTATATTTACTTTTTTTTATTATTACCATCCTTCTCAAAAATAACCAGAGACAAATAGACACAATACGCAGTACGCAGCAGATGTCCGTCGACGTGCTTTGAAGAGGCACGATGGGGTTTGCGCATGTAAGTCCCTGCAGGAGGAGGAGAGTCGACGTTGAAAGATGAACCTATATTTAGATTTTTAGAGGCTGTGCTTTGTCATCCTTGTAACCCAAAACGACCCCTTGTCCACAACGACCGATCGATCGAGCACTGCCATCTTGGATTACTATTTACGTCTCTCGACTGCAAAGAAAACCACAACTACGTCGACACTATCCCAAAAATACCCATCAGAATAACCCTACATCGTGGGGAGAGCGAGCTATCTCAGTATTTCTTATCTATAGCCCTGCCGGAGGTGGGTGTCTCATGCTGCATTCCGAGCCTGGCCTGCATCAACCTGGAATCGGGTTCTGCTACCCCCTTGATTATGTGTCATTACGATCTGTTTTTTGCTCTGCCTTTTCGTTTCAGTCCTATTTGTGGATAGTGTCCTAGACTTTCATCAATCCATTAGCCTAGGGCCAAGAAGGTGTCTCGTTAGCTGGGTTTGGCTTGAGGAGCTTACACAGAGTCATTCTGACGAAATACCCAACTCGCTCCTTGTCATGTTTCCGCCCTCGGCGCTTAAATATGCACGGCGTCGTGGGTAATGGGGCCAATATGAAGGTTAGCAGTCTTAGATCAGCATATTCGCACTACTTGGTACGCCGGAGAGGTTAACTGCCAACCTCCCCCCTCCACAACCACATCTCCTAGGCACGGAAAGCTGTAGAAGATGAATGGTTGAATGATCCGGGCCCTTATGTAAGGCAAATATCATCATTAGCTACTTTTTCTTAAGATGAACTTATGTGGCCCCTCACTTGTGAACCGGGTAACTGGTTAAATGGAAGGATTGTTGCATTACATGTCTTCCCCGTGATCAAACGAACTTCACATCGAAAAAAAGAACGAAACTATACGAACTTCGATGTGAGTAAGCAGCCCCCCCGTGTCTACCTGACGGCTCCTGGAGGATGAGCGAATTATCCACCCGGCTGGCAATCGGCAGTTACTCGATGCTCTTTCCCAGTATTCAGAGATAACTCCTTCATCGCGGAAACATGAAATTTTAACCAGTTTACATACTAAATACCCAAAAAGTAATTTATTCTGTTGGTTATGAGATACTGGTTAATGTTCATACGATACGTGGATGGTATATCCAGTCCAGGTAGTTTCCATTCCCAATCGGGTACACTTTGCTTGACAGAGAATCCAGATATGATATCACACCTTAATGGCCTTTATACCATGATATCCTTTATAATATGAGCTGTATATCTACATACCAGGCTCGATAGCCAGATAAAATACTACCCCTATGGAATTCTACAGCGAAATGCAGAAATCTGAGTCAACATGTCAGGAACATTGTGCATTTTGGCCCCAGCGTTCCTGCTCAAGGCCCAGATTTACTGCCAAGTGGCTCCCTTTGAGGAAATTTCCGCCTTCACAACCATGTTCAGGGATTTCCTGGTGCCCTCTGTGCCGGCTGCCGTTTTCTCCCGGAGATGACGAGATGTTGCATATGAAACTATGCATACCATCTCTCCTCCACAGGCCTTAATGATTACCCACCGCGATGAAACGGCTATATGAATCGGGAGAAGCAGCGCATTGGCCACAGCATGTACGATATATGATGTGGGAGATCCCCTGCCCGTCAATATGTGGGTTACGACATAGCTTCATCCAATAGACAGATTCTATACCTATGGCAGATCCGTACACTGGCATATGATTCAGCACTTAGCAGATACATTGCATCGCATTGCATCACATATATCTGTATCAGAGCACGTTTCATATACTGGCCAGAGTACCCGACCGCTAGCTCGTGGCGAGCGGAGCTAAGGCACAGCTGTCCGTGTGACCAGACCACGCAACTGCCAACAACTAGGGAGCTTGGGTCTATGGATGGCTTACGGGGTACTCTTAGTGAATATTGGAAGGGTACATAGTATGCTGTTATGCTATGGTGATCCCTCGGCAGACCCCGTGTCCCAAAAACCGGTTTCACAACCGGAAGGCTTTTTGATAAACGCATGAGGACGTGGTCAAGTGCCTCGATGATGCATTTGCAGAGTTTGATCGCTTGAAGCTATGCTAGACCAGATCGACTGATGGTCATTTCCTAAATACTACACAAGCCCCGTGATTTGACCCATACATAATTTATGGAAACAACTATTGATACCTAAGCCTCAACCTTTGGACATAGATCAGCCACGCCCCATTACTTTTTTTTCATCCATTAACCCACTACATTAGTTGTCAGTTACTCTATATATTGATGGCGTTCGCATGCAATGGGCGGATAGGCGGCATCACAAGACGCTACACTTAGGAAACCTTCTCGATGATTTTCATTCCGCTGTCACTCCTCAACTACAATTATTATTCCAAAGCTCCTCCATCCATCCCATCTGCATCATTTACCAGCAATCGCGGCCCGGAATTTTCCGATCTACCAGACTTGGACTAATAAATCACCCTGGAGAGAGAATGCTGAGCGATAACATCGGGCTTATTATTCCAATCATCCCCACGGCATACATACCTCTTGCACAACGGCCATTGGCGTCCCCGAAAGCAAGGAACCTCACCTGGGCTTACAGAAGACTCTGATATTAATATTTCCTATTCTTTTGCGGGCCGTGGTAACGATATCTCTTAACTAGCTATTGATCACATGATTCGACAGGTGCCGCGCTGTTCTGCTCTGGGAAAGGTAGACAGAAAGGGGTATACTCCTCCTTTTTCCTTTTTTCCTGTTGGCGAAATATGAAAATCAAATTCCGGGTGAATCTACCACAAAAGCCCGAGATGATCAATCTTGACTTTGTACTTCTAGTCTCCACTGTATCGACCTAAACTCCTCCGATGCTTATAATCTAGCTTCCAGGCAAGAGTTACACCATGAAGGAAAATTCTCCCCGGTCGTTCCATGATTAATGAACGTTTCATAAAAGATGAAGAATAGTGTGTACCTATTGGTGCGCCTCAAGCTCCCGCAGGACAGCCGAGAAACCCGCTCACAAACCCTCATATCCTCGACTTCAACGCGGGGGTGGGCAGCGTTTGACGTCCATGACCCAATCCAACCTTCTTCTACCCTGCAATGAGCGTCCACTGCAAGGTTGTGAGCCGTAATTGCGAGAAGAATTTACATAATATATGCTCCACTGCCGAAGCATCCCCCAAAACAAGAGGTGGTTATATCCGGTTGAATAATGGGGAGGGAAGGGGGTCGAAGGATTTCTGCATCCATATGTTTTTAAAACATGTGGGATAAAATCCGTGCATTCTTTAGTGCCATTAACCCTACCCCTTGAAGTCTGGACGGATCTGAATGCTAACGGATGTACATACCTCTCTACTGAGAAGCCATGGAGATTATACCCCTGGCCGTTAGATCAAAAACCATACTTTGAGGCCTTCAAGCGCTGAGGACATCTGTATGGACTGTTCGAACGAAGATTATATTCAACTTTGGGTATCAAGCTGTAAACTGGCGTTTTTAGGCAGAGATCATCCTCAGATCAATGCTGGCTAGCTTGAAGTAATACTACATAGTATGTACGTAAAGAAAGGGTAACGAGAAAGTCTCTCTCAGAGAGTGAGCGCTCCTCGTCGTAATCGTATGTATGTCGGTTAACCAAGAACTTGACGTTTCAGATCATGCATAACTAACTACCCGCTGTGCCACGACATGTTATCTGATCCTGATGATGAACAGCCGTATCCCTCTGTGGTAGAGGACTGCTGTCGCCGGCGCCACCACCAGTCGGTGTATACTTCGTAATATACAGCCAATTGCAAAAGAAGGAAAGTTCTCAACTCCAAGGCAACAGAAATAGGCTAAAACAAAAAAGCCTTTTGAGAAATAGTCCCTGTACGACGGGACGACGTTCTTTTTGGGGGGCTAAGCGATATAGTACGGAAAGGCAAAATCTACTATCGAATGGGCTGACGGTTTTCAACCCCCCTTGGAGTATCGCGGGCCGATATAGTGTTTCCTGGGCTTGCCCATCGCTGTGCGCTGACCTCCCCGTCGGGATCGTATAATCGGAGTCGCCTCCTCCCTCATGAAGCTAGTTGATTTATCAAGCCTTATTGACAACAGCGCTGCGTGGCTGTAAAAGTAATTATGCTCCATACGATTCCAGACATTGCCCAGTCAGAAACATGATTTCAGTGAAACGAAGAACGCCTTTGGTGCATAGATGGATACTCTTCTCTGTCTACCATTCGATGCCATTTCTTTCCTTTTTCTTCCTCTTCTTCTTTCCCTTCCCTTCCTTTTCCTTTTGGGGTACGGAATAGTAAATGACATCACTATTTACTTCCTCCCCCGGAGGCTCCATCACCAAAGGGGGGGGGGAAGGTCCACGGTCAGCCGCACGGGTTTTCTCATCTCTTGACCACCAACTTATCACAAAACTCCGAAGGTTGGCTAGTGCTGGGCCGAAGGGAAGTGTGCCCGAGAGTAAGAATATATATGTATACCCCAAGCATGGCAAACTATATTTCTTCCACCATAACCCAAAAAAACGCCTCTTCTTTGACATTTGGGAGAAGGATTTCTACTCTTCGCTTGTTGGGGCAGTTGGGGTATTATACGTAATGTTTCAATCAGGGAGACTGCCGCATCCTCGGTACTCCTCGATCAGTTTCCATGTCTGGCGCCTACCTCGGATGGCATTTTTGTGTAAAGATTGATGCATCATATGCATGTCGCCTCAGCAAGCCAGCCAGCCAGCTGTCAGCCGATTTTCTATTGTACCAGGCTACAGTTACTCTCCGCACATGCTGGTCATTCAATAGTATAGAAAGAGATATGCTTATCATCTTTCTGCTCTATTCAATTCGACTTCGAAGTGGGTGGTGTGTGGATGAGAGATATCATAACTCTGCTGGGCAGGTGTGCAGTCACATGCGGCTGCTTGTATGGTGTACATCGTACCCTTGAACCGTAAATACCCATTGGCACGTATCATCCCGCCATCACAACCTTCAGCCATGCTTATAAGATACGAAGCACAGAGAGCAACGGCAGCTAGAGAACTCTCCCTGTTGGTCTCTGAACTTCCATTGACAAGAACGGTTCGGTGGGGAGACAATAAAAAGGAAAATAGAATGGATGAATGATCTGCACGGGGATTGCCACCTGTACAGAAATAAAATAAAAACAATTCGAGATATATTATATGCTTTTTCTTTTCTTTTGTTTCCTTTTTTCACTTTTTTCTTACTCTCCTCTGGTTGACGATGCTTCTTTGGGGAAGATGATCTCCTGGAAGCTGAACCAATGCGTGGCTCCTCGTTATCGAGTTGATATACATCCAAGGCGCTGGATGATGGATGGTCGGCACTGCATGTACGAAGTATACTTCGTATGCAAGCTTTCCTAAGGGTACACAGCATAAACCCCTAAACCATCTTTTGTCCATGTGAAGCTGCACACGCGAAAGATGCACGGCGTGGAAGTCAAAATTATGCTTGAAATGTCTTATATCAGTCAAACAAAGCCATTTTCCACAGGGAAAAGATGTAGAAAACTAAACTGGTCTGACTGGCGATGACAATTCCGCGATGCCGTTATCGTTTAACGATCAAAGATCTCCATCTATAGGATAAGTATACGAAATGGCCATCATACGACAGCCATCGGTGAGAAAGAGGGAAAAGAAAGAAAACAAGATGACGGGTGACGTGGACCTGGAGGACGAACAAGACGCCTGGCATGAATGGGGTTGGGCGTGTTGATTCGTTTTCGTTCTCTGCTGTGATCAATATCAACGATGATTTGCAGCAGGTGTTATGTATGTCAACAGTCGAGTTTCTTCGTACTCCAGACCGGCCAAGCTCTCAGCCTCCTCTTGCCGTCGACCCATCTCCACTCCTTCGTTTTCCAAGGCTTCCATGAGAAGAGTCTTTATCCCTTGCCAGGCTCCACTGAACCTTACTCTCTGCAGCAAAGCCAGCGAACCAGCCAAGCGAAGGTGACTTTGCCATCTGTGCTCTTGCTCTCTCCCGCTCTCTCTCTTCCCGAGCCGATCGTTGGACAGATATGATATAACCCTCGCCCCCCTCGAGTCGAGTTGATGAGATGGGGCTTCGGAGATGATAAGCTGTAGTCCAGGAGAGTTGTCTTCTCCTCCCACCAGGGGTCATGGATCGATGGCCACCAAAGAGAAGAAAAGAGTCGAACGAAGGTCGGCTAAGTAATTTAATAATTGGCTTTTGGGTAATTCGACGGGAGAGCTAACTTTTTGCACTAGTTAAGATGAGATCTTCAAAGACAAACTGTCTCGCCTTGCTGAAGACCAGCTTCTCCATGCTTGTTCATGCTTGTTCTTCAGCGAAGTGTTCATACACAGATAGTAGTGTATATATATATATATGTGCTCCGTATGCTCGGTACGCTGACCATGGCCAACGCCACCCGGAGATAACGAAGGACGAGGAGAAAACAGAAGGACGACCGCGGACCAGCGTATATTATATGGTTCTCGTTCTCGTAGTGGTGAAACAGATGCTTCGTTTCACTTCTCTGCGTGTCTTGTCCCCCTTGCGAGCTCCAGGAAGAAGAGCGAAGAGGGATGCTACTGGGGGTTGCATCCGGAACGAGGGTCCCATCGTATCGAGAAGGTTACGATGACCGTTCATCCTCGTCTATAGTTTTCACAAATATAGAATATCATATATATCGCTTGCTTGTCGGTACTGATGGCGCTAACCGATAGCCAACGGGCCGCGATGCCAAAACCACGCCGTCGTTCCCTTTAGATAGTAATGCTATGATATGTCCATTCCCTTCTACCACTTTCGGTTCTTCATCTTGGCTCTTTTCGTCTCTCCTACGCCGTCTTCCCTGCGGCCGGAAAGGGAGCAAAGGGGGGAAAAAAGGGAGGAAACGAGGGAAGCCCATGCAGGGCGTGGGGGAGGGAACGGCCACGTTTTGTTGCTGGGCAGAGCCGGGGTCGTGACAATTAATACGATGTAGATATTACTCCGTTGACTTGTGCT